AGAGCAGTGAAGGCAGCTACATCTGTAAGGACGTTTGTGGTGTACCCCTAATGATGGTTATTAGATCTAACAAAGATAAATGCCTTTAACGAGCAGAGACAGGAGGGGTCAAAAGGCAGCTGGACAAGAGAAAGATCAGGACACCATGCACATCTCCCAGCCAGGCAAACAGCAGTCAGGGAGAAGGGCTGGAGAGTGCTATGGATGGGGAAGAACAGATGGAGCATAAATCATCTGGCAGCCTGCAAACAACACGGCAGCTCACGGGTTATTAAAGCCCAGCGTGTGCAGCGAGGGCCAGCCAAGCCAACAGTGCATGAAGGGACCAGGGACTGCTTATGTTGGGATTTGGCTTCCAAGTGAAACCAAGAGCACGTTCATTTTAAGCTACTGCATCAGCATGTGCCCATCTATTAGTGGGGCTGAAGACAGACTGTTGGGCTTCAAGCCTATCCATATAGCCAGGTCAGAATTGCCTCTGAGCAGAAAGTAACTCTTGGGTTCCTCTGTCTCACACTTAAACTCCTCCAGAATACCAAATAGTGGAAGAAAACACCTTAAAATACCCAAAGGGTTTATTAACTTTTGAGAGTTATCCTCTTTTTTTTAAAAAAACAAAGTCTTGGAGAGTTTCTTGGAGTTTCCTGGAGAAATCGTCCATCTCACTCTTATAATTTAAATGCACAATTTATCTGATGGAAAAATGATATTTCAGAAGGATGGGAGGTGTCCTGTTTAATCTCTGCCTTCACACTTTTGAGTGTAGAACTAGAACCACCACTCCATCCTGAATTTCTAGCTGGGTGCTGGGTGGTCCCTCCATCACTCTCTTTAGGAGAGATTTGTCCCAAGTGACTCCCTCCATTACTTTTACCATTAATTAATACTATCACTGATTACAGGAAACATCCAAAAGCTCCAGTCAGAAATAGAGGCACACTGGGCTGTTGAGAGAACAATTTTGAGCTGGAAAAAAACCAACAACTTGAGGAAAGGAGGAGCAGAGGGTGGAGGCAAGAGGTATGGGACCAAAGGCAATAAATGAGGAATTGCCACGTGTCTTCATGCAGTGCTCTTCAAGCAGCTTAACAGAGCTTGGGCAAGGGATGTGCCTGGTGGCAGCTCCATCCAAGCCAGCCATCAGGACCCTCTTTACACCAACCAGAGGGAACTGGGAATAGGAAGCCCATATGCAACATCTATGGAAAGATTAGAAGCACCCCAAACCCTGGGTAGGATTTAGCTGCCCAAACAGAGGTGGGGTGAGCTCAAAGACACCTGAGGATCCACAGAGACTGCATGGGAATATGGCACAGAAGACCATTTGGAAGGACCTGTGCTCCTAAACCATACAAAAACCTTTGCAAATCCTGTCTGTACTGAGTCTTCTTTAAGGATCAACATGTTTTCTGAAAAGAACAGAAGGACAGAATAGGGAGTGTGCTGCAAAAAGCTTCTGTGAAGAAAAAAAAACTTCCTTACTCCAGGATGTGCAGTTTGCAGAACACTATTTTTAGTAGCCATATAATAGCAGCATTTTCTGGCAGCTGAACATCACGTTCCTTCTCAAAGGATCCTCAAGCATTTTACAAACACTTGCAACATATGGCCAAGTGTAAAATAGCACTAGAAAAAAGAAAAACAACCAACCAAACCCCAAGAAGATCCTGTTTGCAGCCTTCCCCTTGATTTTTGCAACCAGCTCTTGTGGTCTGGTAGTTGGTGCCCTCTCCTTAGATGCCAACAGGGGATCAGGGTTGTGCTTTTGCAAAGGATTTTTGGATCTGCTGCCAAAGATCACCACGGCTCTGCCACGCTTCTGAGCGTTGGTAATTCAGACCCACACCCATGGCTGATGAGATCTCCAGGAGAACCCAGCCCTACTGCACCAAACCCACAGAGCATCACCACCACCAACAGCAACAAAGGGGCTGCCAGACCCAGAAGAAGACCCACGTCTTCCACTACAGGTCTGCTTTTCATGTTTTCCACATCCACCAAAGTAAACATCTCCAGCTTTCCAGAAGATCTTTAACAGCTGCCAGCTCTTAAACCTTGTTTTAGATCTCATCTAACACGACAGCTACAGTAGCAGGAAGCCCCAGGCATCATGTAGAGCCATCAGTTCTGTGCTGGGTATGAAAAAAAACTATTTTTAAAAATATTTTTTAAAAAAATATTAAAAAGACATCTTTGACTCTTCTTGCTGGGATCTGAGATTCTCCTTGGAAGTCCCACACATAGATGTTGGCTCATATTGTACAATCAGACAAGTGTCCCCTCATATAGTCTCCTAAAGCCTTTCCTTAGCTCCTGTTTAAGTCACTACTAGAGGAAGACAAGCTTTTTCAGATTTTTCTCTTTAATTGAAGCACAAGATGAGGTTGATTCACCCTAAATGAGCAGAATAAAGCAATGCACACACATAAATAATTTACTCAGGTTAGGTTCCTGCCTTCCCAGCAGCAGAACCAGAGGTTGAGATCACACAAGACACTGACTTCAGCTCACCTTGTGCTCACCTTTCACATTCCCAATAAAGAAGTCCTATTGACCTAATCCTGCCTTTTTGTCACATTTGGCACTCTTGTACCCAAACTGACTTTCCTCTTGAGCCATTCAAGCGTTCTGTCTTCCAAGAGGAACATCTCCAACCACACAGCACAGCAACTGGGATTTGCTGAATTTAAATTTATGACCCTCATGCAATAATTGAAATAAGTGGGTCTAAGTCTGGCATGCTGAGAAGAGGCAGCAAAACAGCTGTTAGTTATAAACTTTAAAAAACAGAAGGATGTTTTATGAGCCTCATCAGAAACATTCTTCACTCCTTCACACAGACAGGAATAAAACTTACCCATTAGGCATTCCCTATTGAGATCTAATCCCTGACCCACACCATGCATTTTTGATCTTAAAACTGTAAATGCAAACTTCCAACAGAGTTGGCAGATCCAAGTGTGGTATGGAAGAAATGGCAGAGAGTCAAAACCCTCCACACACCACCCCCATCATAACATGGGGCTTCTCAAACCCACGTCTCTGCTGCAACCCAACGCAGAGACCTTCCCACCTCGCCCAGATCGCTCACATGGCAAGCAAATGGGCCACTGCCTGGGCCATCAGCAAAGCATTCCCAAATTAATGTGGGTAATTCAAGAGCATCTCAGCTGGGTGAGGAGCCTGGATTCCTCCTGGGAATCTGCTGACATGTCCCTGCAGAAAGGGTGAAGGTGGCACTGAGAAGGTGGCACGCCAGCCAGGATGGGTCACCATGAGTAGCTTCTTCCAATTATAGAATCACAGAACCATAGAATCATTTAGGTTGGAAAAGACCTTTAAGATCATCAAGTTCAACCATAAACCCAGCACTGCCAAGTCACTATCCCACTCTGCTCAGCACTGGTCAGGCCACACCTGGAATTTTGTGTTCACTTTTGGTCCCTGCTATGCAAAAAAAGATGTGGACAAGCTGGAGAGCATCCAGAGAAGGGTCACAAAGATGAACCAGGAGATAAGGAAAGGCTGAGGAAAGGTTTGTTTAGCCTGGCAAAAAGAAGGGCCAAGTCACTATCCCACTCTGCTCAGCACTGGTCAGGCCACACCTGGAATTTTGTGTTCACTTTTGGTCCCTGCTATGCAAAAAAAGATGTGGACAAGCTGGAGAGCATCCAGAGAAGGGTCACAGAGATGAACCAAGAGATAAGGAAAAGCTGAGAGAATCAGGTTTGTTCAGCCTGGAGAAAAGAAGGCTTAGGGGAGACCTTATCACCATGTTCTACTGTTTAAAGGGTGGCTAAAAAGAAGCTGGAGACTCCCTTCTTGCAAGAAGCCACATGGAAAAAGATGAGGGGTGATGGGTACGAGTTACTCCTGGGGACATTCTGATTGGACACAAGTGGAAAATTTTTCACAATAAGAACAATCAGCCCTTGGAATAATCTCCCCAGGGAAGTGGTGGATGCCCCAACACTGGATGCTTTGAACATTCACCTGGACAGGGTGCTGGGCCAGCTTATCTACACCATGCTTTTCCCAGGAGAGCTTGGACCAGATGACCCCTGAGGTCCCTTCCAACCTGAGATTCTATGAACCTGTGATCAAAGCCCACCACTAAATTGTGTCCCTAAGTGCCACATCTACACATGAACAGCACCAACTGCATGGGAGTTTTGGGGTGTCCCAGTGCAACGTTGCTTAAGGGCAGGGAAGGAACAATGAGCTAGGAAATGTGGTGGGGAGGGCACCATGGTCCCCCAGGTCCCCAAGCAGAAGGTGACACCAGACACAGCAGGGAACTGTGCCTAAACACACCTCCCCAGGCATCCTCCCACACCCACGGCCGTGCTACCCATCACACCACAGCAAGGATGGAACTGTTAGAAACCAGCCACAGCTAGAGATCAGGATTATCTGGAGCCATCATGATGAATAGCAGCGGAGATTTCAACGGGAAATTAAAGCTGGTGCCTCAGGGCTGAAGCACATCTCTGACTATTAAAAACCACAGTTAGAGGGGGGCAAAACAAACACATGGGAGAAAAATTATGCCCCACTTCCACTAGAGGTCCCTGAAGGAGGTTTCTCTGCATGTGGCTTGTGATCAGATGAAAATCTTGTTGCAAGGCTCCCAGAGTTCTGCCCATCTTATGGCAACTTTCACATTTGTGACAAATTTCACAATTCTCTTCTTACAGTCTCATGGTTATATATGATGCCTTTGCACAGGTCTAACAGAATAGGAAATATTGACAATAATGCTGGAGAAATCAGTGCTGATCACCCCCAGCCCCTAGAAAACAACTGATGGCAAGAAATCAGTTCTCAAAATAGAAAGTCTGCACATTAAAGTGTATTTTATACAAACATCCCACTTGTGACCTTTCATGGTGAGGCATGAGAGCAACAGCCTTTCCTCCAAGTTTAACACAAGCTGCTAAAGGCTGCAGGGTATTTATTCATCACAGGTTCTGGAATTGAGGGAAAATTATTTCTTTTACCTTGAACACTTCCATTGGAAGAGGAAAATTTGCTGCATCATTTAGGGATTTTTCCAGAGCGCATTTCCACTCAGATATAGTCTTCAGAGAATAGATATCTACAGCATCACAACAACAGCAAAAAAGAAAAAGACAAACCCAAGAGGTGACTGTTTGAGGATCAAACATTTTTGGAAGACTTCAGTTCCTGTGTCATAAAAAAAGGATAGTACAAGTGAAATGAACAGTGTGCTTATTCCAGGCTGTACAGAGTGGATAAATTCAACACAAAAACAACTAGCAGGGGCATATTGGGGGAAGATTCTGTTTTATATCCTGGAGTAAAACCTGTAAGAACACACGTCCTTCATTTTCTGCTGAAGGAACGACAACTGCACTATCTCACTACTTGAAAATAACAAAAACTCTCCTTTGATTTCCAATTCTCCAGCTACCTGGTGTTTTCCAGTTTGAGGAGCCTCAGGTCCTCAGCCAATACTAGTTGTATTTGAACAAAATCAGAAATACCTTTGCCAAAGGCTTCTGATCATTGGAAAGTTGTTTTGGTTTGTTTTTACTACAGGGTTGGTTTGGGATTTTGTTTTATTGCAGGGTTCTGGGTTTTTTTGCCATGGAGGGGTGTAGGTGGGGGAAGGAATATTTCACCTAGACCCTTACCCAGGCCCATTTGTTGGTACCACACTCAAACCAGAGCATCACACCAATCCAAAGACTTAGAAATTCCCATCATTATCCTTTTAGGCAACATCTTCCTGCAGATTCACATTGCTTTCAGTGAGTTTCTTTAAACAGGTTTAGTATTATTAAATCATTATACTAAGAAGCCCTTTCTGGTTCAGTGCAGTGAAATGCCTATAAATAATCAAAGGGAACAATACAGGAAACAATACTATGATGAAGAACATTCTATTGGATTTACTTCTGCCCTAGAAAACATATTGTCATCCTGCACATAACAAATTATTGCACAACATTCATATCAGGGTCTTAAACAGACAAGATAAGTAGACAGATAGATTGCAACAATTATTAAAATGGAAATGAACATTTACTCAATAATAAACTTGAATTGGTACAAGGTGAACAGTGTGAAGCTTTTCTTGTATCAGTTTGGCTTCACAGGCTCACATCACAGTTCAATTTGGCCCAATTTGCATTTAAATTCTGTACATCTAATAACCACATATATATTTACTAGCTAGCAAAGATTTACTGCCCTGTCTTACCATTCTGGAGGAGGAAATAAAAAATATGTGTAAAAAAAGGAACTGGCAAGAACTGTTTTCACCTAGCACTGATAGTACACGAGAATTTTATGCTCTGATCTCAGTGGATTTAAGACCTTATCAAAATAGGATTTGCAGAATCACTCACTGGAAGTGGATGTATTTATACTTCTCCTATATCAAACCTCACCACTTCAGAACAGACATCAAGGATACGCATACGAGCCAGCAATGTGCTCGTGTGGCCAAAAGGCCAATGGGATCCTGGGGTGAATTAAGAGCAATGTGACCAGCAGGTCAAAGGAGGTTCTCCTCCCCCTCTACTCTGCCCTAGAGAAGACATATCTGGAGTTTTTGGTCCAGTTCTGGGCTCCCCAGTTCAAGAGAGATGGGGAGCTACTGGAGAGAGTCCAGCAGAGGCTGTGAAGATGCTGGGGGACCTGGAGCATCTCTGTGAGGAGAGGCTGAGAGCCCTGGGGCTGTTCAGTCTGGAAAGACAAGACTGAGAGGGGATCTGACCAATGCTGATCAAGAGCTAAAGGGTGGGGGCCAAGAAGATGGGATCTAGGGTGGGGGCCAAGAGGATGGGGTCAGACTCTTGACAGTGGTGCCCAATGACAGGACAAGGAGCAATGGGCACAAACAGGAACCCAGGAGGTTCCATCTGAACAGGAGGATAAATCCCTTTGGATAAATCCCTTTGCTGTGAAGGTGACAGCCCTGGAACAAGCTGCCCAGAGAGGTTGTGGAGTCTCGTGCTCTGGAGAGATTCCAATCCCATCTGGACACCACCCTGGGCACCCTGCTGTGGGTGACCTGCTGGAGCAAAATCAGTGAAAACAAGCAGCAGTTTCTTTGTGCTGTGTCAACAAACGTCAAGAGATACAGACAACTCCAAGGGTTTCCATAAGCAGCAAGGAATATCATATGCACATTTAATTAGTGGCAGCTCGTTTCTATTGGCAAGTGTATGGACAGTAAATTGCACGGTTAAAAGAGCATAAAGCATTTTGTTTAAGTGATAGGGCTGCAGGTAATTGAACAAAGTGTTCTGTGTCAATTTGTATTTAGGTTAACAAGGAGTGAGCAATTAAAATGACTGCCAATTTGTCTTTAAATAGAAAGTAACATCAAATGAGGTGATCTCTTCCTTTATAAACTGTGAGGTAAGACCATCAGTGGCTCTGTGTCAAGCAGCCTGTGCCAGTTTGCAGTAGCAAGGAGGCTTATTTTGGATTCCCATATAGACCTGAAGGAAAAAATAAGCTCTCGCTCCTTTGCCTCAGTTAAAAGGGCTCATGAGACATACAAAGTCCCTTAAAGCTGTGATTTGGAGAAGACAGCCAGGATGCTATCTGCTAAGGACCCTCTTGCACATTCTTGGGTATTAATGAGGTGCTAGGACATGGACAGCTTCAGAAAAGAGCCCTCTCCATCCAAAATACTACAGACATTTGGATCCTTGGGATCTCCTTTACATGAGATGCTCTGCATCTTGCAAGACTGACCTTAAACTGCTCTTCAAGGTGAAACCCAACTTGGCAGGTCCCAGAGGTAGATTAACACAGAAAAATCACAGCCCAGACATGGGAATAAAGCTGAAGGTGCACAGGCAGCACCCAAGCCAAGGGCAGGCAAAGTACTGCCACAACCTGCAGAACTGAGCATCAGAATTTGGAAGCAATTGAACATAAAGCTGAAGGTGCACAGGCAGCACCCAAGCCAAGGGCAGGCAAAGTACTGCCACAACCTGCAGAACTGAACATCAGAATTGAACATGCAGCCTGACCTAGGAGGTACTCAGCATCTCTTTGGAGGAGATACTTGACAGCTTTGATATACAGTCTAAGGCTGGTGCTTTGTCTATCAATCAAGGAGTCACCAGAACTGGTTTCAGATGTTCAAAAGAGGAAACAACCAGGTCTATGTTCATTGCTTTCAAATCCTCTGAGTGGAAAAAAAACAGGCTTATGAAGTTGTCGTTTCATCTGACCTATATTAGACATGTCTTTAGGCATCTCCCTTTCTCCACTTATGAAGAGAAAGCTCACAGTGAGCTCATAGCTCAACAGCTGAACTGTCTTTTCGATGCCATGTCTTGAATTCATGAGATTCCCACTTCTGACTAGATGCTGCCTGCAGTGCAGAGCCTGGCAACTGGGTAGACCAGCAGAGGGGATCAAAGAAAGATCCTTGGGGGCATCGTTCAGGAGAGGACTTGTGAGCAAATGGAAGGGTTCAGACCCAAAGGGTCTTTTCTCAGCAAGCTCCTAGGAGATCCAGCTTCAGCAGATGTAAAGTAATAACCACCAACTTAAGTCTGTGGAAGTTAGGAAGGAGAGCTGGGCATTGAACTCATCAATAACAACACTCACTAAAAAGTGAATGACCAGAGGAATGTCAAGGAGAGGAAACAGATGCCAGATGCAGACAGGTAAATTTTAGAAGCAGTTAAATCAAAGAGAGGGGAAAAGAAACATAAACAACTTCAGCGAGTAAAGAATCCAGTAACAAGTTTAGAGACAACTGAAAAAATGGAAAGAAGAAGAAAGGCAAGGGGGTGGGCAATCCATAGAGAAGAAAGCACAACAGGATAAAAGGAGGGAAGAGTAGAAAGAGAATAAAATAAAATAAACAAAAAAAGGAAGCACAGATCTCGTTTGGGTCTTTTCTGTATTGATTCCCCAAACCTATGCAGGCCAAGAGGGTTCAAACACAATCAATGAAGAAGTGTTTCTCTGTAACACAAACACTCTGTAGAACAACAGAGTGGGTGATACTCATGCTCTGCAGCATCTAACTCAGAAGTGATGGGGAACATTGATTCCTACCCATCAGTGAAGAAAAACACATGCTTCCAAAAAGCATTTGAGATTCCAAGTGAGACCCAAGACCCAGACAGACCTGTGAACAAAACAAGTGCATATATTGGGGTGATCTCTCTGAACAGCATGAGGTGGACAGAATCATAGAATTGTCCTGGTTGGAAAAGACCTTCAAGGTCAACAAGTCCAGCTGTTAACCCAACACTGCCAAGTCCACCACTAACCCATGTCCCTCAGCACCACATCTACATGTCTTTTAAGTCCCCCCAGGGATGGGGACTCCACCACTGCCCTGGGCAGCCTGGTCCAGGGTTTTACAACCCTTTTGGGGAAGAAATTTTTCCTAATATCTAATCTGAACTCCTCCTGGAGCAACTTGAGGCTGTTTCCTGTTTTCCTATTGCTTCTTACTTGGGAGAAGAGACCAATACCCAGCTCTCTACAACCTCCTTTCAAGTAGTTGTAGAGAGAGAGAAGGTCTCCCCTAAGTCTCCTTTTCTCCAGGCTCAACAACCCCAGGTCCCTCAGCTGCTCCTCTTATGACTTCTGCTCTGGACCCTTCACCAGCTTTGTTGCCCTTCTCGGGACTTCTCTGGACATGCTCCAGAAGCAACATCAGAAACACATACCCAGAGGGAGGCTACAGTTCTGCTGGAATTTGGCACTCATGGAAAAACTTCACCCACAGCACAAGGAAAATGAGGCAAGGACCTGGATGAGTTGTTCACCTACACAGGAAAAGGTGGAACAGGTCTGCAAGGCCAAAACCTGGGCATTAACCATGAAAGCACCTCATCTCTCAAGGAAAATGGTAGTCCTGGGGCACGCAGCCTGGAGCTGCCAGCCTAAAGCATATCTCCAAAGCTAGCCCCAGAACCTGCCAGTGAATGCCTCTGCAAACGTTTCTCCAGGAGGCTTTGAGCAGCCCTGAGCCCCTGCTGTGTGCTGTGGTCCCTATCCCACATCCTGGTCTTCCTCTACACTCAGCCTTGCCATCATCCTTTCCCTGCCATTTTGATCCTGCTCATTCTGCCAAATCTAGTCCCACTGTTTGGACCTTGATTCCTGGTGACCCCTAAACTTTTCCCCTGCTCAGCCTCCTGGCCCAGGCTGCTTGTGCTTGACTCTTCTGTCTCATGTCCCTTGAACTTCTCCTACCCCTGGATTTGTGACTTCCAACTTCTGACCCCAGACTAGCTTAACTGCAGTCCCTATCTCTCTCCATCCAAGCTGGTCTGAACACTAAACTCAGCTCTAGAGAGTTTCTTCTCCAAGCTGCAATCTGCTGATGTTGAATCTGGTCTGACCTACCTGCAATGACTTCGCTTCCTTGGAGGAAATGCAGGACAAAATCTATGGTCTTTTAAATCTGAAAGACCTCATCTACACTTAATCAAAGGAGAATTTTCTTAGCTTCTAGCAACAGATACCCCATAACCCTTCGATGAGCAGGCTGACATGGACAGGCAGACAAACCCAACACCCTCACTGCACCTTCTGACTGGTTACACACAAGGCAGGTCTCACAGGGCAGATGTACAGCAACGTTACAGTAGAACATGAAGGACCTGTGTTAGAGGCACCATGAGGGCCCCAAAACACTTTCTCCAGTCCTGGGAAATTTCATGGAAGTCTACTGCTACACAAGAGAAATGTGTGTGGCCATGGAAAAACAAATGGGCAAGAAGTCTTCTGCTGAGGGGAAAGCAATTGGAATATTTGCTCTAGTATCTGCTGTAGAGGTGTCACCTAGGATGACTTGGACAGAGGACTAGCTCCCAGTGAGGCCACCCCCAGGATGCCTACAGTATGGCCAGAAAGACCTGGCCACTAAAACACCACAGAAAAGGGATGGGCAAGGAGGCAACCTTGGACTATCCCCATCAGCTCTGCTTCTTGGTGGAAAACTGCACAAAACTGCTTCTACTGGACACTGCATCCTTCCAGGAAAGAGCTAAGCTAAACTGAATTTATTAAATTTATTAAATAAATTTAATACAGTTTACCTAGCCCACTTTGAACCCCAACTAGATGGCTCTGACACGCCATCTGTGTCACAGCTTGAAACTACTGCCAAAGCAATGTGAATGCTGGGTAGGAAGGAAAGTGTTGCACAAATATCTCAAAATACCAATAAATGCCACAAAATCCAGATGGAATTTTTAGGAGTTTCTTTACCTGCAGGTGGGTCCATTCTGTATTTATTCTCTTGACACCAACCGACTGGTCGAAGTCTGCAATCCAAGTAAAACAACCACTGGTCATAGGATTCAGTCTCCTCCAATCCCACATAGCGAAGGCGTAATCTTCCTCCAACATTTTCAACCACACTAACTATCCAGTACTGAAAGGGATTCTGGGAATCCTGCAGCTCTATTAAGGAATCAACTGTAATGAGGTCTACAGGGTTTTTTCCTCGCAGAGGCTGTTTGAATAGAAGCAAAACTCCTTATTTTAAACTTTATTTGAAGACTTCTCAAGGAAACAGATGACAGCAGATGATTATTTTTGTTTTTCACACCATCATCCAAGCGATCAGCAAACAGTCTGTTCTTCTTCTATTTTACCCAATGTCTTCCAAGTGCAAATTCAGAAGTAAAACAGAAAACAACAGTTGTGCTAATTTCTCAACCGACATGATCAACAACAACAACAAAAAAAAGAAGAATAAAAGGTAGAACAGTTCATAAAGCACATCCACTTAGGATGCTCCTCGACAACTCAAAGCCCAGTTATATCTGAGGATTTCAAACCAAATTCTCATTGATTTAAGGTGGTAAGAACCAATCACAGGACTGAACACTGGCATTGACCTAAAAGGTGACTACTTTGGGCATGGCCCTGAAATTTCCCTCTGTGCTCTCATCTTTCCCACCAAAGGTTTGATTTCATTCCTACCAGCGTGTAGAGCCAATTACTCCCCACAGCCATGGATGGAAGAGTCTATGGTGGTCATTCCAAAGCCCAAAGCAGGTTCCCACCAGCTTAAGTGGTCTTGGGATCAAAGCACATGGGATTTAGTAGGTCAAGCCACTATACCAAAGAAATCCCAGTGACTGAGTTTATTTGCTTGCACAGAGGATTTTCTGGGATCCTGGTTTTGCAACCATTTGCACGTGTGCTTAACTTGACACCTGCAAAGCTGCCAACAGCAGGCATTAAAAAAACCATGAGATGCTTTGCCAAACGACACCTTTGGGGCTCAGTGGTTTTGGTTTCTATTGTCAGCATCTCTGTGTTGTCAAGTTTTTCTACACTAACACAGTGCTTTGTTTGTTTTCTTTTTTATTAAATGCAAGTTCCAATTCTTATTGGCAATTTCTCGATTCCAGGGCATTAAGAGCAGCACTAAAAAACACCCCAAGAGCTGGGAGCTTTGGTTCCCAAAGGAGATGCTAAAGCACAGACAAAATAATTAAAAGCAACGACGTGTTTGTTTTTCTCCTGTGTGTTTGCCCCACTTCTATTTAATTAGACAATATAAACCTTTCATAGTATTTTTAAAAATATTAATTCTGTAAATCAGAGCCAGCCCACGGTAGTTCTTTCTAGAGGTGGTTAGATAAAAGAGGAGAAAGCTTTATTTTTCCAAAAAAAGTTCCCTTTCCTACTGAATTTGGAAAATAGTTAAAATTTTGAAATGCAACCAATTTTCACTACGTCTCTCTTAATCCAAAAATGCAGGCAACAGAATGAGAATTTGGTAAAAAAATGTAATTAACTCTAACTAAAACCTTATCAGCTGAACAGCTTTTAACCAGCTCTATGATGAATAGATATTTCTCACAGCAATATATTTGCCATTATAAGCCACTCCTCTATATTGTAAGCTGCAAGCACCTGTATAATCTCTTCAAATATTATTTCATGGTAAAACACAGCATCAGAATTTAATAATATAACAGAAATCTATTTTAATGGGTTTTTTTCCTCTCATCCAACCGCTTCACTGCAACAAAACATCCTTTAACATGACACAATGGTGTAATGATTTAACTTATCATAAATCCTTGGCTGTATAAAAGTGAATATTGTTTGTCTTGATTGGTGTGATGAATTTCAAGCCAATGAGTTGTAACATACCCCCGAGAACTGAATGGCTGAGATTAATAATTGGCTTGCATGAAATATTAACATTTACCATAATGCAAGAACTCTTTATATGCATAGCTAGCATGTAGAAAAAAAAAAAAAACAAAAGTATCACTACATATTGATTTAACAGTAGAATAACAATCTGCAGCACTCACAAACAGCAAATCTGTCAACAGGGGGTTACAGACATTGCACGACACAGACAGCACTAAGCACATATTTTGCATACAACACCCAAAAAAGGAATTTAAAAAAAAAAAAAACAACTGTTTCAAGCCAATACTCTACTTCCTCTCTCTGCACTTCTGCCTCTTTTCTCTGCCTGCAGAAAGGGAATGGAGAGGTTCATGGTGGCTTGGGCATACACCAGAGATGGGTGTTGGACACCCCCGGCTTTTTGCATATGCCACCTGGGAGTGGTCCAGGAACTGGGATGCAGCAGCCTTAGGGATGTGCATTATTTGGGGAGTGCAAAGGCTGTTGGACTAACAGATTGGAGGGAAAAAAAGAATCCCTGATGGCATGTTACTAGTTCTCCCTGCCAGGCAGCTCATACAGGCACGTGGAAAAAGGATGGGACTGGTGGGAGTGACCAGGGACACTGGTAAAACACGGTGCCTGGATGCACACTTGCTTCCAAAAACCCAATGTGAGTGCCTACACTAAGACAAACCTGTATGGCTTCACTCCCAGCATAAATACAGAGGGGTAGAGAGAATTATCTCCTGCAGGACAGGCTGTCTCTGCTCCAAACACCTGCACAGAAGGTGCCCTGCTCCCCTGATTTCAAGGTGAATCTGTGGGATTTTTGTCCAAGACCCCAAGGCAAGATGAGGCTGTTCCAGGTCTAAGTCACTCCATGACTATGCTGTGCAGACCAGGCTCTTGGCCATATGGGTGCATGTAAAAAAACAGATCCTTCTCCTCTGACTACCAACAACTGAGGCCACCTCAGCTTGCTCTGTTCAGGTGGAGAGAATGTCCTTGGGGGAGCTATTTCCACAGGCACATAAACCTAACAGTGCTCCCCCTGAATCTGCTAAACTCCCTCTTCAATAGTTGCCCTGACTTGAAAGCTCAGCTCACCACCTTGGTGGATCTAACAGGGCACTGAAGGGCTGTGTCCTCCTCCCTATGGACTCCCTCCATCCTCTCCTTCACCACCCAGCCTTTTTTAAGCACTGAGCATCACCCTCCAACTCCAAAACAGAACAAACAACCCATCCCTGGCTCAGAAGCAGAGCCAGCAGAGTCAACGTTGCCACGGACTTTTGGCCAGCACTGGACCAGCCCTTGCAGTGGGCAGAGAGGTGCTGGAAGCACAGAGCCCACCACGCCAGGAGAGCAGACACTGCTGCAGCATGCACACCACAGGGGATAAAACTGCAATCTAATACATACCCCTTCCAGCAAATTTGCAGGTGCAGTGCGGGCGCCCGTCAAATCCTGGATGAGGAACTCCGTCCAGTCCATGTGTTTCTCTTTGATTGCTGGGCAGAGAGATGGAAGAGAAGAAATGCTCAGCAGAGCAGACTGCAGTGGACTCCCCACGTGGATTTTAGAGACAGGGAATCGTAGAATTAAAGAATCATAGGACGGTTTGGGTTGGAAAGGACAATCAGCAGTCGTCTAGTCCAACCTCCCTGCAGGGAGCAGGGACATCTGCAACCAGAGCGGGTTGCTCAGAGCCCCAGCCAACCTGACCTTGAAGACTTTCAGCTATGGGGCATTGATAACCTCTCTGGGCAACCTGGGCCAGTGTCTCACCACCCTCACAGTGAAAAATTTCTTCCTTAGACTTAGCCTGTATCTACCATCTTCTACTTTAAAACCATCACCCCTTGTCCTGTCACAACGGGTCCTGCTAAGAAGTCTGTCCCCAGCTTTCTTATAGTGTCCCTTCAGACACTGGCAGCCCCCAGCAGGTCTCCCCAGCTGGAGCCTTCTCCTCTGTGGCTGCCCCAGCCCAACTCTCTCCTGCTGGGCTCCCAGCAGAGGGGTTCCCCCCTCGGGGCATTGCTGGGGCTCCTCTGGCCCCGCTCCAGCAGGTCCCTGGCTCTGCTGTGCTGAGGACTCCAGAGCTGCCCCAGCACTGCAGGGGGGCGCCAGCTTTTCACCCACCAGCACCCCTAAGTCCTTCTCCACAGGGCTGCTCTGTCTGGGATACAGCTGCAATCCAGACCAGGAGAAAAGCTGGTTTGCTGCCCAGCTCCTTGAGCAAACTGTGCGTGTGGTTACATCCCAAAATAAGGGATGAGGTTGCTGCCCTGCAGCCACTGACTGTGATTCACAGCAGCATGGTTTATCTTCTCCATCTCCCCCATCCAGAGCTGGCCACTGCTTGTGTAACTGCTCGTTTCCTGCTTACCACACAGGCTCAGATAGGATTTATCAAGTCCCTTTGTACGTTCACTAATGACCTCCAAGGAAAAAAAAAAAGCTGGGCAAACTTTTCCTTGACAGGACAACAGAAAATCCAGGTGCTTTCCCCCACAAAGCACAAGAATCAGCCATTGTATGCCAGGTGCTGAACCCACACACTTGTGAGAAGAAAGACCTGAAGAATTTATCAGGAATATCTATTTCATTTTTTAATAAATGTGTATTTTGAGCCTGTGTTACTTTATGGATCCACAGCTGCATGGTTTCACACAATTTGAACTGAAATATATAAATGTTGCCTCTAGGATTCAAATTCTGAGTCAGTTCTTGTTGGAATCAGTAAAAGCTGGGCACCAACAGGTAACTCAGCAGTTCTCAAATTCAGAGATACCAATGTCTCTTCAAAGGCAGTGTTTTTGCAGTTAGAAACCCAGAAACCAGACTTTAAATCCACCTGCCTGTAAGTGGGAATTAAATTACATCAGAACCATTCTTCTCTCCTGAAAAATCTTACTTATGTGTGAGATATCCAACAGTGATAGTTATGTTGCTAATATAGCAACACCTACAGAAGGAAAAAATCAGCAGCATTTCAAAATTAAAACATTTCCTTTGAACAAACAACTGGATACATGGTTGAAAGGCCATCACCCCACAGGGAGCCCAGGAAGGGCTGTAATTAACCAGCACAGGTCCAGAATAATTAAATTATGGCAGCCCTCAAGGTCTGCTGAAAGGAGGAAGAGTCTTTTGCTCCACCCTTTAGAGAAATCCCACATTAGTCAATCCAGTCTGAAGCATTTGGTGCTTTCACACACATCACGGTGAGATTTCTGAATGTTTTAAATGCAAACAGCATTGTGGGCACCAATATTTGCCGCTGTTACCTCCAGACAAGGAAACCAAGCCTGAGTCTTCTCAAAATACATCCTCAAGCCATCTGCTGCCAACCACTGAACTAAGGAAATGCAAAGAGGGAGCACTGGGTTTGCCCAAGGACAGTTCTATGACATTGCCACAGAATCTAGCACAATGTGCTCATGGTTGGGCTTTCATCCAGCACGTGTGCTTGGCACACCTGGACTCCAGTCCACGCTCAATTTATACCCTAAATACCTGGTGCAATCCATACAGTTGCCCATGGACAAAGACTGAAGCCATGCCCAGGAGACCTTACATCAGACTTCATTTCTGAGCTGTGCTCCTTCCCCAGAATCCAGTTCTCCCAAAATCACTTGAGCTACACACACAGTTTACAGATCTAAATGACTTCAAAAGTGCACCTAAATGTATTTAAAATTAGCAAACCTTCAAGTGCTGGACTTGAGCCTCTCTAAAATACATGAGCTTGCCTGGAACTGTTCTCACTGTCTTTTGCAGCACTGATTTTGCACGATTTCCAGATTTATGACCTTTACATTATTAAAGATGAAGGAATAACCCAAGAAGAAATGGTTTATACGTGTCACTTTCTCTCTCAACATTCCTGTTGCGTTCACCTCATCAGTTCCTGTCCACCTACATTAGGATAAAGAAAACAAGCTTAATTTTGCCATCAGTGAGGAGATAGTAATTGCCATAATGAATGAGCCTGGAGTCCCTCTAGTTCAGACTCCTGCCTCTTGCTGTGAACAGCACCGAGTGCATCACAGAAAGGTGCAAGCTGAACTTTACTTTGGCTCACACCCACAAAGTTGTCAGCCAAATTTTGAATGCCAGAGCTTCATTACTAAAGAATGACAAATGTGATAAAAAGAACACGGTTCGAACTTTCAAAGCTGGCAGGAGACAGGGGGGAGGAAATAGGATTTTCAAAGTTGACAACAGATTTCAGGGGCCTCCATTTCCAGATGCCCAATTTGAGATGTCTTCACGGCTCCCGATTCACAGATCTTGCTGTCAGTCAGTCCATCCCCCTTCTAATGTCTCCTTGTCCTTTGTACTACACAGCTTTGTGACACCTAAATAAAATGATGCCCTTCTCCACATTCCAATCTGGATTACAGGTTTCCAAAATCCCAAAGTGCTAAGGTGACCTTTGTTTTCAGACTAAACAGACTCAGCTGAAAAAACGAGTTACTCTCAATTTCTGAGTGATTTCAGAGCCATCCTCCCCAAACAAATCTAATACCTGGTGTTCTGCTTTACCCTGATTTTCTTTTGCAGTGGAGATAAACCCTGAACACCTCTGAGAGAGAACAGATTGCACTGGAAGTTTTAGGACAAGGACTTGCACTTTCTTCTGTGCCTATAGAGTGCAATCAGGCTGAGTATCCAAACCAAGGAAAATCTGCTGGGTAAATGAGAATAGCTTCAGTGTGATCCATGGGTGTCCACCTGAGCATCCTTCTCAAGAAATGCTGGTGCTTCTCTGGTACATCAGGCTCAGCACCTGTGAGCTGAAGCACTGATTTTCAATCCTTCATTCACATTTTCACTTGCTAGCTACAGGAAAAGACCCAACTGAACCTCTCCTACTGCAGTCAGGCTGGAAGAACTCTGCTCTTAGCCATCTGCAGATGGCTGGCCAACTGGTGGGATAGAAAGGTGTTTCATGGGGACCTAATCTTCACTAGTATGGCTGCTTCCAAAATTCTTCCTTCCTTAAATAACTTCAGTGAGTCAGGAGTGGTCCATGTGGCTCAGATATCCATGGTTTCTCTATCTTTCAATGGATGCACCTTCCCAGAAGACCTCTGTGAACTTCCCCTACCTAGAACCTGTCGAGCTGAATGCACCTCTGGGATCTCAGACAACACCTCTGCTACTACAGGAGAAACACACAAGAAATAACTCAAAAGAAATCTCATCAATCCTTTCACAGAGACCCATCTCATGCAGGGAGGTAGGTCCTTCTACAAAGGACAACAGCCACACAGGACAGAATGTGTCCTTCAAAACTCCAAATGGAAATAGTCTGACAAGCACTCTCCAACCACAAAGTGGGATAAGGCACAAGCTCCAATCTACCAGCACATGATTAATGTCACCCTAATTAAAGCCACCTCAGCTCTAACTGAGCTGCACAGACTCAAAAGGTGATAAGAAATCTTGGTAGTAAGCAAGTCCCTGGTACTTCTGCCTGGGTGGCAAATATCTCTCATTGTTCTCAATCCAGGGAGCTGACAAAACTGGGAACATGACTCTTCACCAACACGTAAGATCTTCTCCAAGTAGGGGTATGAACTGAAAGCTACCAGTCCTTTTGCACAGCCACCCTTCCTCACCAGGCACAGCTCATCTGTGAGGATGGCACCTTGGAAAGGGACCGTCACACACACACCACAGTGGGGCTCCAAATAAGCTCAAGGACAAGGAAGCATTTGATATATTCTAGTAAATACATCCCAAGCAGTGATGACAGGATCACAGAACTCTTTAAATTGGAAAAGACCTTTAAGATCATCAAGTCCAAGCTTTAACCTAACTCTCCCAAGTCCCCTGCTAAACCATGAGATCAGCCTGACAAGCCTGCAGTTCCCCAGACCCTCCTTCCAGCCCTTCTTCCAGATGGGTGCCACATTGGCTAACCTCCAGTCCACCAGGATTTTCCCAAAGAGCCAGGACTGCTGATAAATGATGGAAAGTGGCTTGGTGATCCCATCCACCAGCTCCTTCAGCACTCTGGTGCAGCCCATCTGGCCTCAGAGACTTGTGTATGTCTAAGCGATAACTTGCTTGACCAAGACAACAGTAACCAAATCACACTGACAGGTCCTCTAGAGCATGAGGCTTTGACATTCTAAGAGGACAGAGCTTGGCCAAGAGTCATAAATATTGCTATGAGCACCCTACCCATCTTAGTGTCAGTCTGAGAGCCCTGCACAGGGTCTGCTGTGGACCAACTATGAGACTGTAGAATGGCCTGAGACCCTGGAAGCCAACTGCCACCCAACCTATCATAGCAAGAAGAAATGATTCAAGAGAAGCAGAGACACAGCAGCAGAAAAAAAAAAAAAGACAAGAGTTCAGTGATCCCACTGATGCAAAGGCCCCAGTGTGAGCTGAGCTGAATGACTGAACACCAGATAAGCCAGAGAGCAGACAGGTACTAGCAACACTCTCACCATGGAAAGAGCTTGGTCAAAGCTTGCATCCCTTTAGACAC